ACCAGATTACTGTGTTATGTACACCAGATTATTGTGTTATGTACACCAGATTATTGTGTTATACCAGATTATTGTGTTATGTACACAGATTATGTGTGTTATGTACACCAGATTATTGTGTTATGTACACCAGATTATTGTGTTATGTACACCAGATTATTGTGTTATGTACACCAGATTATTGTGTTATGTACACCAGATTATTGTGTTATGTACACCAGATTATTGTGTTATGTACACCAGATTATTGTGATATGTACACCAGATTATTGTGTTATGTACACCAGATTATTGTGTTATGTACACCAGATTATTGTCTTATATATACCAGATTACTGTGTTATGTACACCAGATTACTGTGTTATGTACACCAGATTATTGTGTTAAGTACACCAGATTATTGTCTTATATAAACCAGATTACTGTGTTATGTACACCAGATTACTGTGTTATGTAAACCAGATTACTGTGTTATGTACACCAGATTATTGTGTTATGTACACAGATTATTGTTTTATGTACACCAGATTATTGTGTTATGTACACCAGATTACTGTGTTATGTACACCATTGTGATGTATTGTGTTATGTACACCAGATTATTGTGTTATGTACACCAGATTATTGTGTTATGTACACCAGATTATTGTCTTATATATACCAGATTACTGTGTTATGTACACCAGATTACTGTGTTATGTACACCAGATTACTGTGTTATGTACACCAGATTACTGTGTTATGTACACCAGATTACTGTGTTATGTACACCAGATTACTGTGTTATGTACACCAGATTATTGTGTTATGTACACCAGATTACTGTGTTATGTACACCAGATTATTGTCTTATATACAACAGATTATTGTGTTATGTACACCAGATTATTGTGTTATGTACACCAGATTACTGTGTTATGTACACCAGATTAATGTGTTATGTACACCAGATTATTGTGTTATGTACACCAGATTATTGTGTTATGTACACCAGATTATTGTGTTATGTACACCAGATTACTGTGTTATGTACACCAGATTACTGTGTTATGTACACCAGATTATTGTGTTATGTACACCAGATTACTGTGTTATGTACACCAGATTATTGTGTTATGTACACCAGATTACTGTTATGTACACCAGATTACTGTGTTATGTACACCAGATTACTGTATTATGTACACCAGATTATTGTGTTATGTACACCAGATTACTGTGTTATGTACACCAGATTACTGTATTATGTACACCAGATTATTGTGTTATGTACACCAGATTACTGTACTATGTACACCAGATTACTGTGTTAAGTACATCAGATTATTGTGTTATGTACACCAGATTACTGTATTATGTACACCAGATTATTGTGTTATGTACACCAGATTACTGTGTTATGTACACCAGATTACTGTATTATGTACACCAGATTATTGTGTTATGTACACCAGATTACTGTATTATGTACACCAGATTACTGTATTATGTACACCAGATTACTGTATTATGTACACCAGATTACTGTGTTATGTACACCAGATTATTGTGTTATGTACACCAGATTATTGTCTTATATATACCAGATTATTGTGTTATGTACACCAGATTATTGTGTTATGTACACCAGATTATTGTCTTATATATACCAGATTACTGTGTTATGTACACCAGATTATTGTGTTAAGTACACCAGATTATTGTGTTATGTACACCAGATTATTGTGTTATGTACACCAGATTATTGTCTTATATATACCAGATTACTGTGTTATGTACACCAGTTTATTGTGTTATGTACACCAGATTATTGTGTTATGTACACCAGATTATTGTCTTATATATACCAGATTACTGTGTTATGTACACTAGATTATTGTGTTATGTACACCAGATTACTGTGTTATGTACACCAGATTATTGTCTTATGTATACCAGATTACTGTGTTATGTACACCAGATTATTGTCTTATATATACCAGATTACTGTGTTATGTACACCAGATTATTGTGTTATGTATACCAGATTATTGTGTTATGTACACCAGATTATTGTCTTATATATACCAGATTACTGTGTTATGTACACCAGATTATTGTGTTATGTACACCAGATTATTGTCTTATGTACACCAGATTATTGTCTTATGTACACCAGATTACTGTGTTATGTACACCAGATTATTGTGTTATGTACACCAGATTATTGTCTTATATATACCAGATTACTGTGTTATGTACACCAGATTATTGTGTTATGTACACCAGATTATTGTGTTATGTACACCAGATTATTGTGTTATGTATACCAGATTACTGTGTTATGTACACCAGATTATTGTGTTATGTACACCAGATTACTGTGTTATGTACACCAGATTACTGTGTTATGTACACCAGATTACTGTGTTATGTACACCAGATTATTGTCTTATGTATACCAGATTACTGTGTTATGTACACCAGATTATTGTGTTATGTACACCAGATTACTGTGTTATGTACACCAGATTATTGTGTTATGTACACCAGATTATTGTCTTATATATACCAGATTACTGTGTTATGTACACCAGATTATTGTGTTATGTACACCAGATTACTGTGTTATGTATACCAGATTACTGTGTTATGTACACCAGATTATTGTGTTATGTACACCAGATTATTGTCTTATATATACCAGATTACTGTGTTATGTACACCAGATTATTGTGTTATGTACACCAGATTATTGTCTTATATATACCAGATTACTGTGTTATGTACACCAGATTATTGTGTTATGTACACCAGATTATTGTGTTATGTACACCAGATTACTGTATTATGTACACCAGATTACTGTGTTATGTACACCAGATTATTGTGTTATGTACACCAAATTGTTGTGTTATATATACCAGATTACTGTGTTATGTACACCAGATTACTGTATTATGTACACCAGATTACTGTGTTATGTACACCAGATTACTGTGTTATGTACACCAGATTATTGTGTTATGTACACCAGATTATTATGTTATGTACACCAGATTATTGTGTTATGTACACCAAATTGTTGTATTATGTACACCAGATTATTGTATTATGTACACTAGATTATTGTGATATGTACACCAGATTATTGTGTTATGTACACCAGATTATTGTGTTATGTACACCAGATTATTGTCTTATATATACCAGATTACTGTGTTATGTACACCAGATTACTGTGTTATGTACACCAGATTATTGTGTTAAGTACACCAAATTGTTGTATTATGTACACCAGATTATTGTGTTATGTACACTAGATTGTTGTATTATGTACACCAGATTATTGTGTTATGTACACCAGATTACTGTGTTATGTACACCAGATGACTGTGTTATGTACACCAGATTACTGTGTTATGTACACCAGATTATTGTGTTATGTACACCAGATTACTGTGTTATGTACACCAGATTATTGTGATATGTACACCGGATTGTTGTATTATGTACACCAGATTATTGTGTTATGTACACCAGATTATTGTGTTATGTACACCAGATTATTGTCTTATATATACCAGATTACTGTGTTATGTACACCAGATTACTGTGTTATGTACACCAGATTACTGTGTTATGTACACCAAATTGTTGTATTATGACACCAGATTATTGTGTTATGTACACCAGATGACTGTGTTATGTACACCAGATTACTGTGTTATGTACACCAGATTACTGTGCTATGTACACCAGATTATTGTGTTATGTACACCAGATTATTGTCTTATATATACCAGATTACTGTGTTATGTACACCAGATTATTGTGTTATGTACACCAGATTACTGTGTTATGTACACCAGATTACTGTGTTATGTACACCAGATTATTGTGTTATGTACACCAGATTATTGTGTTATGTACACCAGATTATTGTGTTATGTACACCAGATTACTGTGTTATGTACACCAGATTATTGTGTTATGTACACCAGATTACTGTGTTATGTACACCAGATTATTGTGTTATGTACACCAGATTACTGTGTTATGTACACCAGATTACTGTGTTATGTACACCAGATTATTGTGTTATGTACACCAGATTACTGTATTATGTACACCAGATTACTGTGTTAAGTACATCAGATTAATGTGTTACGTACACCAAATTACTGTATTATGTACACCAGATTATTGTGTTATGTACACCAGATTACTGTGTTATGTACACCAGATTACTGTATTATGTACACCAGATTATTGTGTTATGTACACCAGATTACTGTATTATGTACACCAGATTACTGTATTATGTACACCAGATTAATGTATTATGTACACCAGATTATTGTGTTATGTACACCAGATTATTGTGTTATGTACACCAGATTATTGTGTTATGTACACCAGATTATTGTGTTATGTACACCAGATTACTGTATTATGTACACCAGATTACTGTATTATGTACACCAGATTACTGTATTATGTACACCAGATTACTGTATTATGTACACCAGATTACTGTATTATGTACACCAGATTAATGTATTATGTACACCAGATTATTGTGTTATGTACACCAGATTATTGTGTTATGTACACCAGATTACTGTATTATGTACACCAGATTACTGTATTATGTACACCAGATTACTGTATTATGTACACCAGATAATTGTATCAAGTACCTCATATTACTGTGTTGAGATTACTTTTTTTAATATTACTGCTAATTTGTTTTCGTCAAAAAGGATTTTGATCGATGTATTTCTGTTGCCAGTCAGGTGCTGACAATGTTTATACTACAGAATGGGATTCATTGGGTTTACACGATATGGTAGCGATTTATTTATTAAAAGTGTTTCCTCTAAATATTACATCATCAGTTAACCACATCATCTTCCATCATTTTTCATCAAACACACACTGTAGATTTCTACTTCAGACCTCAACATATGAAATAATCAATACACTGGACATAAAGCCTTTCAGGTCTACAACTTACCTCCATTACAATACTGACTGATAAAAGCATGATAAACACAGTGATGATACCATTCATCACAGGATAGTATTTATCCCAGCAGCCTGCACCGCTATCCGATAGTTCCGCCGATTTACAGTTCATCTAAAAATCAAAATCGATGTCAGAAAGGTACATCTACATTACACTACATCTACATCAATTGATGTACACGTCAGAAAGGTACATCTACATTACACTACATCTACATCAATTGATGTACACGTCAGAAAGGTACATCTACATTACACTACATCTACATCAATTGATGTACACGTCAGAAAGGTAAATCTACATTACACTACATCTACATCAATTGATGTACACGTCAGAAAGGTAAATCTACATTACACTACATCAAAACATTCTCAACGGTTCGTCAGATCATATCTGAACAGAAGAATCGCTCTTTAAAGGAAGTACTAATTGTTCAAACCCAATTTGATTGTTATTCGGGAAAAAACAATCGCCGCCATCAACTATTTCATACAATCGAACCCTTGTTATTTGTGTTTCACATTAAAGTCCCTGACACGGATTAGCTCCTGTTTACTGTTGTTCAAGCGTGTCCTTGTCACTTGATATTGAACAATCGCTTCCCCATCAACTGTTTTGTACAATTGAGTCCATGTCAACTGTTTTGTACAATCGAGTCCCTGTCAACTGTTTTGTAAAATCGATTCCTTGTCAACTGTTTTGTATAGTTCATTCCCTGTCAACTATTTTGAATACTCGATTCAGTGTCAACTACTTTGTGCAATTGAGTTACTGTCAACTGTTTTGTAAATTCGAGTTACTGTCAACTGTTTTGTAAATTCGAGTTACTGTCAACTGTTTTGTAAATTCGAGTCCCTGTCAACAATTTTGTACAATCTAGTCCCTGTCAACTATTTTGTACATACGAGTTCCTGTCAACTATTTTGTACATTCTATTCAGTGTCAACTACTTTGAACAATCGAGTCCCTTTTAACTATTTTGTACATTCTATTCAGTGTCAACTGTTTTGTACAATCGAGTTCCTGTCAACTGTTTTGAATAATCGAGTCCCTGTCAACTGTTTTGTACAATCCATTCCCTGTCAACTATTTTGTACAATCGATTCCTTTTCAACTGTTTTGCATAATCCATTCCCTGCCAACTGTTTTGTAAAATCGAGTCCCTGTCAACTGTTTTGTACAATCGAGTCCCTGTCAACTGTTTTGTACAATCGATTCCTTGTCAACTATTTTGTACAAACGAGTTCCTGTCAACTACTTTGCACTATAGAGTCCCTGTCATCTGTTTTGTACAATCGAGTTACTGTCAACTGTTTTGTACAATCGAGTCCCTGTCAACTGTTTTGTACAAACGTGTCCCTGTCAACTGTTTTGTACAATCGAGTCCCTGTCAACTGTTTTGTACAATCGAGTCCCTGTCAACTGTTTTGTACAATCGATTCCTTGTCAACTATTTTGTACAAACGAGTTCCTGTCAACTACTTTGCACTATCGAGTCCCTGTCATATGTTTTGTACAATCGAGTTACTGTCAACTGTTTTGTACAATCGAGTCCCTGTCAACTGTTTTGTACAAACGTGTCCCTGTCAACTGTTTTGTACAATCGAGTCCCTGTCAACTGTTTTGTACAATCGAGTCCCTGTCAACTGTTTTGTACAATCGAGTCCCTGTCAACTCTTTTGTACAATCCATTCCCTGTCAACTATTTTGTACAAACATGTCCCTGTCAACTGTTTTGTACATACGAGTTCCTGTCAACTGTTTTGTACAATCCATTCCCTGTCAACTATTTTGTACATACGAGTACCTCTCAACTGTTTTGTACAATCCATTCCTTGTGAACTATTTTGTACATACGAGTACCTCTCAACTGTTTTGTGCAATCCATTCCCTGTTAACTATTTTGTACATACGAGTACCTCTCAACTGTTTTGTACAATCGAGTTCCTGTCAACTGTTTTGTACAATCCATTCCCTGTGAACTATTTTGTACATACGAGTCCCTGTCAATCGATTTCCTGTTAATAATGCTACAACAGAGCCATTGAAAAATGTATTTGAGAGTTGTGACTCAAATAGCTAAATGTACAAGGTTACCGAAGATGTATATATATATATATATATATATATATATAAATAACCACTTACGGCGTCAAATAACTCCGAGAACGCCTGCTGCACCTCAGTGTTAAGTCGAGAAGCACTGTAATCGTTGTAATAGTCTATGAATCGATATTTCACCCAGGTATTTATCTGAAATAAGCAATATAAAGAACGAACTTCTTACTAAGTTGATATCAAATACATCACCGTAACAAACGCCGAAAAGCTCGTTTGAAAAGTTATGTGTGATATCTAGTAAAAGTGTCTTCACCGCAGCAGTGTGATAGTGTGTCAGCACAGTGATAGTGTGTCAGTACCGTGATAGTGTGTCAGTACCGTGATAGTGTGTTAGCACCGTGATAGTGTGTCAGTACCGTGATAGTGTGTTAGCACCGTAACAGTGTATCAGTACCGTAACTGTGTAGCAGTGTATCAGAACCGTTACAGTGTATCAGTATGAAAACAGTGTATCAGTAGCGTAACAATGTATCAGTACCGTTACAGCGTATCAGTGTATCAGTACCGTAACAGTGTATCAGTACCGTAACAGTGTATCAGTACCGTAACGGTGTATCAGTACCGTAACAGTGTAACAATACCGTAACAGTGTAACAGTATTGTAACGGTGTATCAGTACCGTAACGGTGTATCAGTGTATCAGTACCGTAACAGTGTATCAGTTTATCAGTACCGTAACAGTGTATCAGTACCGTAACAGTGTATCAGTGTATCAGTACCGTAACAGTGTATCAGTGTATCAGTACCGTAACAGTGTATCAGTACCGTAACAGTGTATCAGTACCGTAACGGTGTATCAGTACCGTAACAGTGTATCAATGTATCAGTACCGTAACAGTGTATCAGTGTATCAGTACCGTAACGGTGTATCAGTACCGTAACAGTGTATCAGTACCGTAACAGTGTATCAGTACCGTAACAGTGTATCAGTACCGTAACGGTGTATCTGTACCGTAACAGTGTATCAGTACCGTAACAGTGTATCAGTGCCGTAACAGTGTATCAGTGTATCAGTACCGTAACAGTGTATCAGTACCGTAACAGTGTATCAGTACCGTAACGGTGTATCAGTACCGTAACAGTGTATCAATGTATCAGTACCGTAACAGTGTATCAGTGTATCAGTACCGTAACGGTGTATCAGTACCGTAACAGTGTATCAGTACCGTAACAGTGTATAAGTGTATCAGTACCGTAACAGTGTATCAGTACCGTAACAGTGTATCAGTACCGTAACGGTGTATCTGTACCGTAACAGTGTATCAGTACCGTAACAGTGTATCAGTGCCGTAACTGTGTAGCAGTGTATCAGTACCGTAACAGTGTAACAATACCGTTACAGTGTAACAGTGTATCAGTACCGTAACAGTGTAACAGTACCGTAACAGTGTATTAGTAACGTAACAGTGTATTAGTAGCGTAACAGTGTATCAGTACCGTAACAGTGTATCAGTGTATCAGTACCGTAACAGTGTATCAGTACCGTAACGGTGTATCACTACCGTAACAGTGTATCAGTGTATCAGTACCGTAACAGTGTATCAGTACCGTAACAGTGTATCAGTGTATCAGTACCGTAACGGTGTATCAGTACCGTAACAGTGTATCAGTGTATCAGTACCGTAACAGTGTATCAGTACCGTAACGGTGTATCTGTACCGTAACAGTGTATCAGTACCGTAACAGTGTATCAGTGCCGTAACAGTGTATCAGTGCCGTAACAGTGTATCAGTGTATTAGTACCGTAACAGTGTATCAGTACCATAACAGTGTATCAGTACCGTAACGGTGTATCAGTGCCGTAACTGTGTAGCAGTGTATCAGTACCGTAACAGTGTAACAATACCGTTACAGTGTAACAGTGTATCAGTACCGTAACAGTGTAACAGTACCGTAACAGTGTATTAGTAGCGTAACAGTGTATCGGTACCGTAACAGTGTATGCTATCAGTATCTGACTAGAAAAACACCTACCATTCTAAAACGGTCAGTATCAATTGATTTCAATCATTTACGTAAGCCAGCTTCGTTTAGGGGTAATTGAATAATAATATTTTTGAGTCTTACCCCTTCTAATATCAAGGAGAACAGCACAATGAAGACCATGTCCATGACAATGCCAAACAACAGAAAACAGGTGTACTGAAACAGAGAAAACAGTCGTTTAACTATTCTCATACCGGTGTTTTACAACAGACAAAGGAACGAACTTTGCACTATTCTCATACCGGTGTTTTACAACAGACAAAGGAACGAACTTTGCACTATTCTCATACCGGTGTTTTACAACAGACAAATAAACGACCTTTTAACTATTTTTAAGTCCTTGTATCTGACGATACCCAACAGTAAGACTACTTACTATGATAATCAAAAGTTGTTTATGATAGATGACCCCCAGCAGTCCTAGACAGCCGAAGACTGAATGGAGGGGAAGCATGACGAAAAGAGCGTACACCAAGCCCGAGGAGAGGTTTCCAAGTGGCATTCCATCTATCATAAATTGATTCAGTAAAGGAAACGTCCCACGTTGTAGTACGCCATCTCTAACAATCAGCACAACTCCAACAACCAAGGCGAGAAGCCATAACAGCTGCAACAAAAAAGGGATACATCCATCTTAACTAGAAACATTGTTATAAGCATACAAGTTCAAAAGTGGACAGTTAAATCCAACAACAGAGTGGGCGGAGACATACAACCAAGTACAGAAATATACAAGTATAACAGTGGACAATTAAATCCAACAACAGAGGTGGAGACATACAACCAAGTACAGAAATATACAAGTATAACAGTGGACAGTTAAATCCAACAACAGAGGGGGCGGAGACATACAACCAAGTACAGAAATATACAACCTAAATATA